TTTAGATGTGTCCTTGATCCAACACAGCTGATTCAAGAGGCTAAATGACTTCCTCAACATGTCTTGTAGTTCTCCAGAGGCCTGGTATTGAACTAATCATGTGATTCAGGTGTGTTGACCCAGGGTGAGATCTGAAACCTGCCGGACACCTGCCCTCGAGACCTGGAGTTGCCCACCCCTGACCTAACATAACACAGAGCTTACATAATGGATAAAATAGAGCAAAAGCTAATGTCTACACTAAATAATCAATTTCATTTCCCAGTCTTGTATCAGTATTCTACTTTAGGTATACTCTCAGCTAACTAGGTATTTCTTATTACTTACACTTGTGTCTTTGCTACGGTTAAGGTTTATTTACATATTTATGAAAGCAAATCAGATTCATGTGCCAAAGAAATATTTGAGTTTCCAAAAAGACTTTGATATTCCACAGAGGGCTTACAAAGATTGATATGTTTGTCTGAATCTGTCTGTGCTTGTTTCCTTTCAACAGACTCTGGCTGTAAACAAAAAGCTGAACTGCTGCACTGAAATTTTGCTGGAGAGTTTGGACCAGCTGACAACTGTTGGCTCCAACAAGGATGGTCTCTTGTACGGAGTTCCAGTTAGCATCAAAGAAAATATTGCATTTAAGGTATTTCCCATCTACAGAAGAGGATTAGGACCAACGAAAAAAAAGTGGGCACGTCTTTTTTTTCTACTTTTCTCAGAATTCTGGAAAAGAAGAAGAAAAAAGACGTGCCCACTTTTTTTTCGTTGGTCCTAATCCTCTTCTGTACCCATCAGTATTAGTAAGTATGTTATAGAATAGAACAGAATGCTTTTATTGTCACTATACAGATGTACAATGAGATACAGAGCGTCTCCTACTCAGTGTAAACAGGACTGAGTACAGTATTCTCGAGCATCATAGCGCAGGTATTTGATGTACAATTATTGACTTTGTTTTTTCCAACACTAGAATCATGACTGTTCTTGTGGTGTGGTCATTAACCTGGACCAGCCCGCTGAAAAGGACAGTGTGCTTGTTCAAGTCCTGAAGAAACAAGGAGCTATTCCCTTTGTGAGAACCAACTTGCCTCAAGCTCTTTTAAAGTACATCTTTTATCAGTTACTCACATAAAAATCTACAGCACATTTAAAACTGAGTGCATGTGTTAAGTTGCCTTTGTCCATTCCAAATGTGCAAATCATGAAAATATGAATGAAAATAATATGCAGAGACTCATTAACTGTCTGTTGACAGCTATGACTGCAGTAATCCTATCTACGGGCAGACTGTGAACCCTCATAACCCCCAGAAGACCTCTGGAGGTTCATCTGGTGGGGAGGGGGCTCTCATCGGGGGAGGGGGCTCCCTGCTTGGTATAGGCACTGATATAGGTGGCAGTATCCGTATTCCTGCATCCTTCTGTGGAATCTGTGGTTTCAAACCAACGGCAGGTCGGCTCAGGTGGGTCTCATTCAGTCAGTTTCCTGGAAATTTATTATACATTGCTGAGTTAAGCATTTATGTTTGTTAACACCTTTTGTGTAATGATTAGTTTACAGGGAGTTCGTCCAATTTATCGAGGGCAAAAGACAGGTAAGTGACATATGTACTTACTAAACAAAGTAAAATGTGACGTTACATAACTGCTTTAATGTTCCACAGTCTGGGAATATGGTTTACTGCTTCTTGTTTTATATTAAACTAGTGTCGTCATCTCCTGGACCCATGGCAAGAGATGTGGACAGCCTGGCTCTGTGCATGCAGGCACTTCTTTGTGACCACATGTTTTCTTTGGACCCCACTGTTCCACCATTACCTTTTAACATGGAGGTGTGTCTGTTGATGACAATTTTTGTAATTGCCTCATACAGTGGCAGTATAACACCCTTGTAAGTGGACATCAGGCCCTTGTAGTATGTACTATTTTGGTCTACACAACCCAAAATGTGATGTCCACATATGTGGACGCCAGGTGCTAGGAGGTTAACCTGAAAGTTGAAGGTGAAATGAAGACTGTTCAGGATTATTTTACTGGACTTTGACCAGATAGTTACTAAATGTTCAAACTTGTAAATTAATGAAATGGCTTATTGTCTTAACACACTTATTAAATGTATTAATGTCTTAGAATAAACAATACATTAACATTTATATTTAAAAACAAGTTAACTAAAGGCCATCTTTTCCTTTCTTCTTTGGCTCTCGGAGGAGGCGGCAGACTGGATACATCTCGGAAGGGCTAGCTCGGAATAACATCTCTGGGCGCAAATTGGATGACATCTCGGGGAGGCACACTGCCGTGAGTTCTCAGAATCGGCTCCTTGAGCACAAGAAATGACAACATCACAGAACGCAAGTATGGCGAAGCTCGCGGCTCTCCAACGGGAGATTGAGAGACCAGTGTTGGACTGTAGAACTGCTTTGAAATTCATATGAGCTGTTCGCACTAAAGTAAAAACCACCATCACTTATGCGGAGACCCCTTTGGCGCCAGCTGTTTACACAGCTGTTTTGGCTGTTTACTTAGCCTGGCAGGGCGAAGGACATTGTCTCAGCTGAACTATGGACATGCACACACATACATATACTGATACTGCAACTGACAAATAAAGGCTATCTCACCATCTCATCTCTCAAAATGATTGACCCTTAGATATACAGAAGCTCCAGACCTCTAAGGATCGGTTATTTGGAAAGCGATGGCTACACGCATCCATCTCCAAGCATGGCCCGAGGCGTCAGAGAGGTCAAAGCTCTGCTAGAGCAGGCGGGACACACAGTAAGACGTCACCACACACACTGATTGCGGTCAAGTGTGTTATGTGAGC